GTATCAAGTTAGCTCAAAAGACTAAGTGATATAAAAAAATGCTTTATGATATTGCATAGAGCACATCTCAACCCAATTAAATACTACATTCAGTTTTAAATATAGGAGATAGTTAGCTATCCTAAATATAAGATCTCTGCTTATTTTGTCTCCCAAATATATAATATTTTTAAAAAATATCTCTATTAATTTCAAGGTATTTTCATTCAAGTGTAATTTTAATATACATGATTAAATAAGAGTAATTTAAAAAAGTCAACACATATGTTATAAATAATTAATTTAACTAATTTTTTTAATATTTTAAAATTAATTATTTAATTTTATATTAGGTATAAAAACACCTAGTAGCAAGGTCGCGGCAAAAGAGTGAAGGCAATCCCATCCTCCGATGCCGATGTCATCACCTCCAATGCTACCGTGACTGTTAAATACAAAACTATTTTATTAGATAATTATTTAAATACCGTTCCATAGTAATGAGTACTCCTCCGATCCTTAATATAAGACCCAATTCTTGAGTTGGTTTTGATTTTAAATATAAGATCCATTTTTTATATTTATCAATTTTCTCTAAATTACCCCTATGGATACCCATTCAACCATAGTCAAGTAGAAGAGGAAGAGGAGGTATTAAGAAAGATGATTATGGTGTTTTAGGAAAAATGTATCACTTTTTTTATAATTAACTAACTTACCTAACTTTCTTAATCTAATCAAATTAGTTAAATGGGTCTTATATTAAGGACCGGAGGAGTACTAATTTTTATAAGATCAACTTAATTATCAAGTAGTTATGCCAAAATAAGCATAATAACAGAACTAATCAAATAAGTACGAAATTATCGTATAAATAAATGAGTAAGTTTTAAGAATCATTATGCCATAATTCTGTGATGGCGCGGTTGGTTTCTGATGGATTTCGTTGGTTCAGACTGAATTTATTATGGTCAATGTCGTGAAAAACATAGTCTCCATGCATACTCAGTATTTACAGTCGCCATCTGAGCCATCTTCCAGCTTAATCAGCCATCGTACACCGTCATTTTTTTTTCACCCGCCTTAATTAGTTACGTCCTTGTTTAATTTAAACTCCCTCCCTTCTATATGCAACTTTCATTTTGAAAAAACGTCCGATCTAAAATATAAATTTTATTTTTGAATTTCTTTGAACATTTATTATTTTTTTATTTTATCTTTAGTTGAATGTATTTAGTGCTCACTCTTTTTTATTAATATTATCTTTATATATTTTCTTTTATCATTTTTTTAATGTATTGTCTCTTCCATTTGCTCTCTCAATAAATAAGAACAAATTAACAAATATATTTCTAACCTATTTATTACTTTTAATTAATTTTAATTATTACTCTAGTTTATTAAATATGATTTAGTTATTTAAAACTTATATATATGAAAACGGAGGGGGTATATATTTGCCGACACTGGTTAAGTTTCGCAACACCTTTTTTGCATGCAATAACAAAACCCATTAAATGTCTTTAATTACGCGTGAGTACCACCTCCTTCAATATATTTAACAAAAAGTGCACGGATGGTAAGAAATATTAAAAGCTTGATACTGATAGATGGCAAGTCTAAATATATGAGTACACAGGAAGTTGCTGTTCATTGGGAATGGGATGAGAAGATGAGCATGTTTAGTTGTGAAACAAACATTAGTTATGAAATCAAATAGAAGCAATTTTTGAACCAACAAAGAGATAGACCTTTCTCTGCCCTCTGCATCAACCCCTTTTATCACTCTACTTTTCGCTACCAAAGCCCCAATACAACCCTAGTATCTCATCCTCCTAAAACACCTATTAAACCCCTATAACAGACAAGGCCATGTGATCCTTAAATCCTTGGTTTTCACCCTCCCTATCAGTAATCCGCAGTAACAGAACCATAATAATAATAATAATCCATGGGAGCTGTAAATGTTTAAACACTGGCGTAACTGGAGTCTCTCAAAAGGAAAAACATAAGTGAAAAGTAATAACCTGAGAAGCCAAAGTAAGAGGAACAACTTCTGAGCGCCGCCAGTGTAATTATTCAAATTGATGATCACAAGGGACAAAAACACAGATGGCCTTATGTTTCCGATCTCTCAGAACAGACGCGTCGTCTCGTCTGCTTAAAAAGTCAAAAAATAAACAAACATTTTCATTTCTCGTTGATTCTTTTGAGTATAGCTAGTGGTAATTTCGATTTTCCAGCTCTTCTTCAACTTTAAATCTGAAGTTTCATAATTTTCTTTTGTTTTTTTGACCAGCAAGAAGTTTCATAATTTATCTTCATTTACCTGCCCTCGGAAATAGCCGAGCGCAATTACTTCCTCTGAAATTCTGCTCCAGCTGGCTGTCATAAATCATAACCTAGGTCATGAAGACCAACAACATTTATGACCTCTTAAACGACTAATTACGGACCAACAACATTTATTACCAAATTCTTTCTGTTTTTAAAAATTATGGGGCAAACGACAACTTGTGGTATTCCTTATTAGTTAAATTTAAATTTTAATAACACATACTACCATTAGGAAAAATAACAAAAAAAAAAAACTCACTGAAATTAAAAAAGACAAAAAAGTGATCCAAATAAATAAAATGACCAAATGGGTATAATATATGAATTTGGGATTTATAGATTTTGGTAGAATGACTAATACGTCCTTGGAGTAAGAAAAAGAAAAGCCGGTTGAATATTTTCACATCTAACATATTGATTAAAGTATGTTGCAAAACTCATTACGCAAATAGTCACTTTCATTTCGTAAGTTGTTATTCTTGTTACATATTTAATAAAATTGTGGGAAAAAGTATTAAAAATAGTTGCAAATAAACAAGTTGTAAATTCCCTAATGCAAATGGCAACTTTTATTACTCAAATTGTGATTCTTTTTACTTGTTTTGTAAAATTGTCTGAAATAACTTATAACAAATTGTAAAACTTTTTATCCAAATAGTCACTTTTATTTCACAAGTTGTTATTCCTGTCATATGTAAAATTATATACAAATGGATTATAAATGGTTACAAATAAAGAGATTGTAAAGCTCATTATGGAAATTGGTATATTCATTTTGAAAGTTGTTAATCACTTTGCAAATACTATTAAAAGCTACCTTCATTATAATAACACAGGTAAACATAATTTGCAATTGTTATCAATAAATGTATAATAATAGTGATTAAATATATTTTTGTAAACAAATTTTATCTACAATTATAAGTCAAATATCATAATAATAGTTGGATAATGTATTTATGTGTACAACATTCTTATTAAACTTCTTCCTCGACGCAAAAAATTCTTTTTGAAATAGTATGCATCCACTCTTCACTTCTTTGTTTGGCTTTCTTTCTAATACCATTTTTCCCTCCTGCAAAAACTCCAATTTATAGTCATCCACGCTACTATATTTTTTCACACTAATCTAATCATTATCAAAAGAAATATAGTCAATTTCATTACGAAGTGTAATAAATCCCACAACCCACTTAACTTAATTTGCTTCACAACAATATAGTCATTATCATAACAAATCTGATCAGTTATATTAATAAATGAGTTCAATTTCAATAACAAGTCAATCTCCCTGGTCTTGCAGAAAAGTTGTTATTACTAATACAAATATAGTCATTCACATTTTAAGTGTTGTCATTTCACACAAACCAACTAGGGCTATTTACTACTCAAGTATCAAAATTTATTGTTTCGGTAATGAAATTTATTACTAATTATTCCTAATTTAACAGAACATAGCAGAAAACGGAAACTAACAAAATAACAGACTTTAAGAATAAATTTTATTAGAAGATAATAAAAAGTTAATCAATATACTCTCAAACCTTACATAACAGTGCCCTAGTTCTGTGGGTGCTTCTTCTTCCTCTCTCTCTTCTTCTCCCTCTCTCCCTTTTTTTTCCTGCTTCTTCTCTAAACTTTTATTTCTCTCTCTCCCTCTCTCTCTCTCTCACATAGTGTTGGTGATAATATTGAGAAGGGAAGACAAAAGATGAGAGGAACCAACTCTCAAATCCCAAGCATTATGAAATATTCATTAGGAACATATTAGAACGCTGTAGGAGAGACCACATCTTCTTCTTCTTTAACAAACCCTTTGACAATTCATACCTAACCTTTCAGTTAGGCAGCCCTTTGAAAAAGAAGAGGACCTGAAAAAAGAGAGAAGAGCTCTTTGAACATGAAATGAGAGAGAAGACCAAAAAAGATAAGAGAAATGACATTAAGGTAATTTGCTAAAATTTGTATATTCCAATTTAATACCGATAGACCTATCTATCCTTTGTGAAATTAGAATGACTAATCTAAAATTTTAGAATTTAAATGGTATTTATAAGGGATTTTTTCCTATCATTATAATCCCAAAAATTAAAGGTCCAAAAACTTAGAAGTTGCTAATTAATTAGGACCCTTATTATTAGACTGGGGTAAAGTAGCATATCAGACTAGCTAGGGGCCATATTAAAGGAATATTAAAGTAGAAGGGGTAGACTTGCAGGGGCATACATAAAGCTGCATAGAGTAATATATGGTCATCATTGTTTTACAAAAAGTCAGATCAAAGACACCGTCATTGCCATGCATGCACAGTCTCTCAAACTTGCTGTAACCTAACTACATTCTATGACACAGTAGAATCTCAATTTTTTACTTCTAAAAATAATAAAATATGGCCATCAGCCCCTTTGTAAGCCCATTTTTATATCATTTTATATCATATTTGGAGTTTAGCGTTGGACATGCATAATTAAATCAATCACGCTCCCCATATGCCTCCTCGAAAAAAGCTGGTTACTTATAGAGATCAATGTTGTGGGGTTCTGTCCATTAACTCTGCGGTATGATGCCTTTATAAATATTGCCGAGAAGGATCCTTACTTCTGAGCCAATCTCAAAATTCCCTTGAGCTATTGGTCGCTTCATCTTAATCCTTTCCTTCCCTGAGATCTCCTTTGGTTAGCAGTATGGAAGAAGCTTTTAGGCGTCTCAACGGCCTTGGTCCCAACGAATCCTTCTCTGATCACCACCACAAGAAGTGCACTCCCGCCGCCAACAAGAGGGCTTCGAGAGACAACGGCGCCGGCGGTACGAGGTACCGTGGAGTTAGGCGTAGGCCCTGGGGCCGTTACGCCGCCGAGATAAGGGACCCTCTGTCGAAGGAGCGACGTTGGCTTGGTACCTTCGACACGGCGGAGGAAGCCGCTTGTGCCTACGACTACGCCGCCCGAGCCATGCGTGGCCTTAAAGCTCGCACCAACTTCGTCTACCCAACTTCCCTTTCTCCTTACTCTGTTCCTTACAATCTCTTACCTCCTTCTTTTAACTTTCCGAAGCTGTCTCAGTCGCCGTCCGTTAATATTAACAAGAACCTCCATAGCCACCTTGTGGGAGCTTCTAGTTGGGCTAACCATCGTCCCTGTTCAACCCACCGAAACTCTTCCTCGAACAACATGATTATGCACCCTGATGTTCTCGACCCTTCTGTGGTCGCTTTTTCTTCATCGTCGTCCGCCTGTCCTACGTGTACTTGTCTCCGAGGATGCTGTTTGATGAATTCTTCTGGTGGCGCTAATACTGTTAGCAGTAGCACGTGTGGGTCTGCTTCCTTCTCGACGACCGCAACCCATCATAATGGAATAACGAAGAGCGATTTTGAAGCTGATGATGAATCTGCGTTCTTCCCAAGAGAAGTTTCAGACTCGGGGTTGTTGGAGGAGATAGTTCACAAATTTATGTTAACTTCGAAGCCCAAGAAATTTGAGCCTCCCCCAGAATTACCCCCTCAACCTCAGCCTCAGCCTCAGTACCAGTCAGTGCCTGATGATCCTAGGTTTGTTTCTGCTTCTCAACGCTATTATGAAACCAAGAAGGAGGGTTTTGGTGTCCATTTGGACGACCAAGGTTTTCTTCCTATGCAACAACAGTTCGAGGGTTTTGATGAGCAGGCTATGCGTTTCGGCAACAGTCATCAGTTGATGAACCATGCAGATTTCTCAATCACGCAAGATCTTGTTCGCTATCAAGAGATTCTTAATACCTTTGCAGCCAGCGTCCAGAATGCTTAATCTCTCCATTTCATGACTGTACCCGCAGGAAAATCTATGTAGCCCAGATGAATGTTTTCTTTTAATTATATATGCCCTAATCTTATGTATGTACCTTGTTCAATCTGTCATATGCAACTTGCAAATTGGGTGATCTTGTTTGTACTAGTTAGTTTCACTAGGTCACGAGTTCGTCCAAACTCACTATGTACCTTCCCTGTAGGGTAGTTGATGATATGTTTACCAATATACTTTCACTTGGTTATGTCAGCTTCAATTCGTTTAGGCTTGCAATTGAGTATTGCCATTTTGGCATGTTTTCACTTTTTGTTATGCCGGAGAGACGGTAAAATAAAGGCCTTTCATATGCTTTGAGTTTGAGAGATTGAGAACCACAGACTCGGAGTATAAATTAAATTCTTGTGCGTTGACCTTGGAACTCTAAAAGTTGTCTTTTGCGAAGCCTTTCTCTGCTATGCTTTTATACATAAAATCTTGGTTCAGTCAGTCCGAATCAAAACACATTGGTTCGAGTAATTCCTGATCACGCTGTGACGTTTTATTCTCGGTGTTTGTTTGTGCGTGACTGTGATCTTAAAAGTATAAAACCTAACCGGAATCGATCACAAAAGTTTACTAGGAAAGAAATTAAAAGGAGCTGTGGCACAGCTGGCTCTTCAGTCATCGAAAACGCAAAGCTTTTCCAGGTGAAGACTTTCAATTACAAGACCAAACACCAGTTAGATTGTAAAAGGGCCTTATATACTATTTTGGTTATCATTCTTTTATATATTTCACCCACAATTTATTGTATGTGACGCTAATAAACTTGATATATTGAATTTTTTTTTATCATCTGAACATGAATTAAAAGTTGTGAGATTAACAATTTCCATACATGAGATTTTCAGTGAACCATAAAATCATACTTTGTTTCTTTTATTCATATTTTCCCCCATAAATTATTAATATAGATTAGAGGTTTCCTTCCACAAATTAGTTTACTATAACTTCTATATTAAGGAATGGATGGATCATATATACGTATAATCTCCCGCCGCAGTTTGTTAAGTGGATCTAGCTATGCAAACTAATCATGATTCTCATAACATAGAACAAGTGCATCACTTGAAACTGAGAGACAGGTATCCTCTTTTCAATTGTGTGACCACAGAAAATAAAACTTACAATTGCGTTTCGAAATAATAAATGAGATATAAGTTAAAGTGTACTTTTTTGCAGTTTCAAGTGGAAAATCTGAAATTTTTCTGCTGAACTCGGGCTCGATCGATGACATGCATACGCATTGTCTTGAGGAATTGAGGCCAAAATATTTTTAAAAAAAATGCGGAGACAATTAATTTTTTACATTATTGTGTCTAAGCCACTCGTTTTCTTTATATTCAAAAAGCAAATGGAATACAGTGGGATAAAGCAAGAATTACATAAGCGTATATCTAGCCGTATGGCGGAAGTAAAGCCATGGATATGAAGTAGACAAGAAGACATTCTTACGTACCAAGTAAGTATGTTTGTTGCATGCCTTTAGGAAGAAAGAAAGAGAAACAAGCAAAGCAGGAACATAATGAAAAAAGGTGTTGAGAGAGTAAAGAACAAACGTGGCAAACATGCGGGAAGGAAGACTGCTAAAACTAGTGGTGACAGAAGACAGTGTTGCTGATGAACATGTCTCCAAACAGTATAATGTTATATAATGTGTGTGTGTGTGTGTGTGTGTGTGTGTAGAGAGAGAGAGATCCGCACGCAAGACAACCTACGTTGTAATTAAGGTTTTTGCATTTGCACAGCAAAGCTTCTGAGAAACTTATCTGCTTCATTCATTAGCTTTTGTTGTTGCTCTCTGCTGTGTGGTGTAATTCAATGCTCATATACCAGCCATGCTGGCCTTTCACCGTGCATCGATCCTTCATCATCCTCGCTTTCTGACACTGATCTCGTACGTGCCATCATCTTTCCTGTATCTTTACCTCCTTTTCTGTTTCTAATAACATGCATTTCATTTGCTTCCCATGTGTATTATATATATAGGTAATCAACAAATTAACTTGTTGCGTTTTTGTAAATTCCTCAAGCATCTCCAATTTTAATTTCCACTTTTCCAGCATAGTTACGTGGGCTACTCACTTAGTTTCCACTATACTCCTCTGAATCTGAATCTGAATCTGAATCCAAGACCCATTTTGTAGTAGTGTAAAATTTATCCTCTAAAATGGGTCTCACATTTAGGTTTGAAAGAGGGGTAGTATCTTTGGTGGTGAGTGTGTGTGGATATAAATATATATATATATATATTGATTGTTGCACCCGGGTGTCGGCATGGCAATCAGACTCAGGCACTCAGGCGTCTCTTGTACAATTAATGAACACTATCCCCACCAAGTTACTAAATCATCCTTAACTTCATCTATATTTTCCGTTCATGTTTAATGATCCTCTCTCGTAAATGTCTGTATTCTAGCTTCATGTAGTGTAACAACGTAACGTCATCCTTCCAATATATATTCCCTTTCCCATAAGTTGGATTAGCTTAGATGGATTTCATATCCGTACCGCATCATCACCATGGTTGAATTTTGAAAGGATGGTCACGTCTGGCTGCACCAGTCATCAAAAGCAATTGGACTGAGATTTTCATTACGCATGTCACCAGTACTCCCAGGACCCAGAGTACTTCTGCCTTTAATTTGCCGCGGCTGACTTTGTAAGAGGCACTTTTATTACCAAGTTAAAAAAAAAAAAAGGGACAAAAAGTACTCACTTGGATATATCTTATAAGAGAGATGAATAATCGAATCATGTGGATATATTAAAAAAAAAGGTTAATATAATTTTTGGTCCTTCAAATTTGTTTTCATTTTGATTTTGGTCTCTTAAATATTAAACTATAGGTTTTGGTCCCTCTAGAAGCAAAATTATCCAGGTTTTTATTGGGTTATAAAGACTAATATTTTAAATGAAAAGAAACTTGAAGAACCAAAACATATGATTTGAAATTTGAGGGACTAAAACCAAAGTGAAAACAAACCTAAAAGACCAAAGTTTATATTAACCCTAAAAAAAATATCACTAGCCCAGGGTTGAATTGTTCTCATTTGTTAATGAGAATAAATATAATAAATGTTAATATAAATATTCAAAAACCCAAATACGAAGTTGGTGTAAAAATTGTCTATGGATTATTTTTTAGCTTCTTTCTATGTATACTGATAATCATGACTTTTCAAATATCCTTGCTGATAACGTTTATCTAATTGATAGTACATGCATAGGTAGCTAATACATGTACCTTAAACAGTACATACTTGATTACTAATTAGTACAATATGAAATTATGAAATGTTAAACAATTATGCTCCCAAAGTGTTAATAGCTAGCTGTACATTGTCATTAGGTGTGGTATTGGTAACATTTAAAGAGATGTTATTATTAGTATGATAAGAATCCCTATCTATTGCGCCAGTGTACACTACTTTAATTTATCTTTACGACTCACGATCCAATTACGTGCCTTCCATGTGTTATATGGTATCGTATTTCTATTAAACCTTTACAAAAAATTATCACAAAAAAGAATTATGCACATAAATATAGGAATTGTAATACTGTAGTAATAACTTTCAAATGTTTTACCTGTGACTGTGAGTACGTATATATAGCCATACAATTATGCAAACAATGCACGCGCATGAGTAGAGTCCTTAAAAAACCTATTTAAGGTAAAACAAAGGTGAATTATTACCCATGAGAGAAAAATGATTTTTCTTTTGTTTTGGGGGGATTTCATAATTCATTTCAGCCACTCTGAGCTGGATCAGTTGACTATTAGAGGTAAAAACTCAACTTGCTTCAGAAAAAAGGGTAAAAGGAAAAAAATATACAGGGAAGTAATTATGTGATGATGCACTGTCATGCAGTCGTAAATAAAGCCTATTTATACGGTGATTATAGGATTATTAGCACTGGGCCTTATAATTATTTCTTAAGGCTTTATATCTAGCTACCATGTATTAACCCCCTTGTCTCCTATCTACTAACACCACGTTGTATCTTTATATTTATGGCTAATAAATACGTAGACTTGCCCTCCTAATTAATCTTCCAATAATCCTCTCTTTAATTTAAAGCCTGGAAAAGTATAACTATAGTAGGCTTTGCCTCACTTTCAATCATTTAAATTGGGAAGTAATTATACACTAATGATTCATCATGGGACCAATCTCCTCACTTATTGCTTTCCTTCTAAGATTTAGGGGCTTAGACGCATGCAAAATATTGCTAAATTATGTTATTGAGGCTGATGAGTATGAGAAGCAAGTCACTGATGGTCAATGGGAGAATGACAGTAAGCTTCCTGACAAATTTTACTAAAAGTTTAAGTTGCCAAAATTGTTTCAGACATTTTAAAATATGATCGTTACAAATTAGACAGAGCTCTGAGTTGGGTTAGTATAGGGTTTTTCATACTTGTGACTCGAGAGATTTTTCGTTTTATATGGCTCCTCATCTTTTAAATTATGATAGCCATCCGCCTGTTTTTGAGAAACTCATCGTATTGGTAAATTTTTCATCATATTGCTTCTTTTTGGTAAATTACATCTACAAAACTAATGAAAATTAAGCATCATAATTTGCAATATATACTTCCCTATATTTACAACTCTATGAGTTGTTACCTGTAAACAATGTACTATAAGTATCAGAACAATGGAATCAAATTAAAAGGGAGTTGACAGTTGACACTAAACAGATGCAAACCTTGACCACCACATTCAGAGATTAAGCGGTCACCAATAGACATAATGCCTTTACCATCACGACTGGTTTTGTATTCTACCCAAAAGCAATTATATATGTAGCTCATGAGGTGCCTCATGGGGAGGCATCGAGTAAATTAAAATACCATAAATAATATAACACTGATCATTGGTGAAAAAGAAAGAAGAAGAAGAGTTATACAATGTTTGGTCCTTAAACTTCATCTTCATTTTATCTTCATTTTGATTTGGTTCCTATGATATATAGTTTCAAACTATAAATTTTAGTTTTTTTAAGTTTTTTCCTATTTAAAATATCATTCTCTATAGTTTAATAAGAACCTAAATCATTTTACTTTTTGATGGATTGAAATATATGCTTTGAAACTATAAACACCGAAATGAAAATAAGGGCAAACTGTAAAGACCGAACATTGTACTAATATAGAAAAAAGTTTATTGTAATATCCGTATTACAAGTGTTATTAGTTTATTGTAAACTAATCCAAACATTGTATTCACCATTTGTTATAAGAAGCTTAAAGATTGATAACTTCTTCTATTCTAAATATAAGAGTTAATAAATAAGTTTGTTTTAGTTTTAAATATAATACTCTAATATATTTTGTCCTACAACTTTATAATTTCCCCCTGAACTCGTTTTGCTAATTGCACATATTTTTAATAGAGTTTTTACCAAGATAGTAATCTTCAATACAAATGATGATTAATTTTGATATACAAACCCTACAAATATGGATATATGACATCATCCTACAAACACATGATGACGCCAATATGTACCAAAATATTCTGGTCAGTTAACCCAGAAAATTTAATATGCATTGCTCATATTAATATCACAACTGGTGATCCAAGCAGAGGCGATTCATTAAGGCATTTTTGCAGTCAGAACAACGCATGATCTGGAACAGGAACAGGCACAGAGGTTGCTCTTGCATGCCGGTGTTGGCATGGCAATGAGACCACACTGTCTTCTCTTCAAACTCCATTATTACTCACAACTTGGGCCTTCACCAGTAACTAAGTACAATGTCTCACCCCCACAGGTCATGCATCAGGTTTAAATGTTTCTGCATTTTCCGTCCAATGATCATCTCCCGTAGTAACTGTTTAAGCGCTTTCTTGGTTTCTTTAATGCAGCATGTCTATGAGCCTCTCTCCACCTCATATCTCACATTTCATTTGGTCCACATAATATTATCCGTACAACTTTACGTCAGCTTCTCCCTGAACTGATGACATCATTGGTATTAATGAACTCTAGATTTTTGTCTTCATTCATTGGATTAGAGCATTTGCCTCCATAGTCGTGAGAATTAAGCAAGCTCTAGGGTTTTCCACTGTTCATGACATCCTCCTTTGTCACAGTTTGACTTTGTCCATACTAGTTTTACCACCGGGAAAAAACAATAGTACGTATTTTTCATTTCATGTTTGTGTAAGTGTGTTTGAAAAATGAGTTCATGAATAATGACTACAACTTACTATTAAATTTTAATTTTAATTGTTACTCATGGGTCATGGCCATATATTATTTGATATTTTAATTTCGATTTCTTCCAGATCCATTTTCTCTGAACCTTCGCACCTCCATTGCGCATCACCATACTTCGATTCTTCGCTCCTGGACTTCAGTAGGGAGTTTGATTCTTTCATGAGCTTTAGGCTAGATTTATGATTTGATCCATGCTAGTTGTATATTTCAGTTCACGTATCTAGGATTGTTTGTGGATTTTAAACTGAAACTCCGAAATATTCTTTTGAAGTGGCTGAACATCGGATTATTGTGAATTCTAGTTGAGTTTGCATCTTCTAATTCTGAAATTGAAACTAATTGTTCTCTGTAGCCGAGGTGGTTGCTGGTATGATTAGTTCGGTTGATTACTTTAAGACAGTGCAAGTTTGTATCTGTTGCTAGAGGAATTAATCCATTTTTAGCTCCTTCGTGATTCAAGAATTTCTTGCTCAATAGTAATTCTTACAAGTTGTGGTTTTAGCATTGAATGAATCAGCAAGTTGTTGATTATTCCTTCTTGATTCAGTCATCTAAACTCCATATCTTAAATGAGCTATGAAGACTGAAAGCCATCTCTAAGAGAACATCTTGTTGATTCATTGTTGGTGAACTCTCTGTCATAAATTCTATTTTAGACTCATTCCTTCGGGCATAAACTTCCAGAAATCTATAAAGTATAGTTGTTAGTATTCAATTAAAAATCCAGATCAATAAGACATATTTCTTACACTTAGTAATTTGTTATTTGTTAATTTGTTAGGATTAGCTGGAAAGGCTCCTTACAGATCCAACACCATCATTATATTGCATTTTAGTTTAGTTATCTTTTGGAAAGTTTTTTTTTCTTTTGGTCAAAAGTTATCTTTTGGAAAGTTAAATGACAAGCTTTTCAGATTATATAAAAAGTTATTATTTATTACACCAGTACACTTTATTTCTTATTCACTTATTGTTCACTGCCCAATACCTGCCTTTTATTTGTGCTGTCGTGATGCATGTTATTAAAATTCTACATGAATCATTTAATACTCTTCCAATTCAATTCTATTTATAAGACACTGTCAAAGAGATTGTATATTTTATTGTCCTATTTACAAGTCCCATAACTAAATTTTTCAGGTGAATGCATAATTATACTCTTTATTTATCATTTATGAAAAGTCATAAAAGTATAGACTTTACAGTGTGTGTATATTAAATAGAGGTGAAATTATTAAATTATTAGATTTCAGAGAGAAATAGAGTTTAAGGCTTTTTTTTTCTTCAATAAAATATATTAAAAATTCCTTATAAATAGGTCTAGATGAATGTGTCCACATGAGAAGGAATAAAATTTGAAGATATCTTGGTTGTTAGTGTTTTTCTTGATGGCAGAAATACAGTGTTAATTTCTAACACAAATAGGTAAGATATACACTTACAGGTGGTAAATATAAAAAAGATACTTATACTATTTCTTGTACATTTTCAGAGGTATATTTCAATAAAGCAGAGACATATATCATTCAGTACAGTCTAGCAGGGAAAAAATAGATATTAACTTCAGTCCTTAATATAAAAGCTTGTTTGAATTTTGTTTTAGTCCTAAATATAAGATTTCAATTCACTTTGTCTTTTATATTTATGCATTTTTTTCCTAAGGTAGTCCTTGTAATAATAGTAGTTATAACCAATACATTTGATTAGTAAAGATATTTTAAGAAAGACAATACTTATTTACTATAAATAACTAACTTAACTAATTTTCTTAATTTACTCAAATTAGTTAACTGGTCTTTTTATTAAAGGCTAAAGGTAGTATCAAATAACAATAAATTTAGACACAAACTTTGAATGTTTGATATCAAAATGTTATATATGTATCAAACATTCAAACTTAAAATGTCTTCCACAGTTTTGTCCCAAAAAAAGTTTCTCTCACAGGAGTAGCACAGACTGTTCAATGCATCCTGCCATTATATAAAGCATATATATATTATATATTTTTTCGGCGGTGGGTGCGGGAGATGCCTAGAAAATGAACTTTATGCAATTAATTAAACAACAACAATCAAGCGTTTGTAGTCCAACGGTTAGGATAATTGCCTTCCAAGCAATAGACCCGGGTTCGACTCCCGGCAAACGCAGTTTTTCGTTGTCCTTTTTAATTTTACTTGCTGCAACGTTTCAGGAGTTCATCGTCAATTTTATTCCTCTTGGCTTAAAAACTAATCAAGAGCTTGCTGTTGGCTATAACTTTTTGTGATTTTCTGTATTTGTACAAGTTTTTTCTATTGCTTTTTTTTAATTTACAAAATTTAAGGTCCTTAATATTTGTTAAAGATGAGAAGTAGTACACTACTATTCCGATTCTTAATATATGGCTTAATTGTTGAGTTGATTTTGGTTTTAAATATAAAATCTATTATTCAATATAAAAATATAAGATCTATTTCTCATATTTATTAATTTTTCTTAAATTATTCTCATGGATGCTTCCTCAACCATAATCAAGTAGGAGAGGGAAGAAGGATATTAAGAAAGATAATTATGGTGTTTTAAAAAAAACATGTCATATTTTTTATAATTAACTAACTTATCTAACTTTCTTAATGTAATTAAATTAGTTAAATATATCTTATATTAAAAATCATAGGAGTAGTATTCAACATTTAATTATGAATCATTTTTATTAGCTCATTAGTTAATAATCATAGAAGGGGAAAACGTGGCTTTTGTTTATACTTCTACAACACTTCTTTTGTTCTCTTTGGTTATCTTTTAAGAAATTTAAATTTAAATTATTTAATTTCTGATCAAAACGTTATCAATGGGTAAGTTTCGATCATAGCAAAAACATACATTTAGTTAATTTCAATTTAGTCCTTTAAGTTTAAAAATATACTTTTAATCATTTAACTCTAAAATTATTAACAAAAAAAATGACATTAAAGTCTTACATGTTGATAAAATATTCTCAAATGTTAATATATTAAGTTCAATTTTTTTAACAAAAAAAACCATAATTGTTACAAAAAAATCATCATTTAAGCCTAACAATTTCAAAATTAAAAGACCAAATATATACATTTTTAAGTTAAAGAACCTAATTGAAACCTTATATAAACTTGAAGTACCAAATATATATTTAACCAAATATAAAACATATAAGCAGTTAAATAATTACAAAATTACTCATCAAAATTGCATGCTTATCATTTCATTGGTTCAGTCACGTTGCCAAAAAATTCAGTCCCCCTTTTTAGTTATCATCTATCATTTACTACAACAGCATATGAACCATTTGAATTATATGAAATTTAAAAATAATTCAAGCTATTGACATTTTAAACATGGTATTTTATTGAGAACAGACTATCACCTAATACAGATCACTGAGAAAGAAGGCGCACTCTGTTGATTCATATCATATTCACAAGGTATTATAACATGTGCCAGTACTTGAGATTATATTACTTTCAGAGGCCTACAGCTCTCTGGGTCACACCATTCCACAAAAATATGACGCCAATATGTGCAAAAGTCAAAAACTTGCTACTCAATCCATAAATATCAAAAGGATATTAGGATTTTGCAACAGGAAGATCAAGCTCTCCGTGACATAAACCATGTTAATATCACAATTGCTGATCCAACCATGGGTCTCTTGAGGCTTTTCTGGAAGCCAGATATCCTGCAACACTTTCAGAAGCTCCAGAAACAACATTCAACAATGAGGTTCCCCAAGCCATCCACCCACCCTGTGCGTGCTGTTGCTGTTTCTTTGTTTCAGCCAGAGCTTTCTGTTCTTCTTCTGCAACGATCTCGTGCCACCTCTTAGTCATGAAGTCTTTCACAGCCTCAACCCCTTGTTTTACAACCTCAGGTGGCGGGATTACAATTGGATTCTCGTCCAGGTTGAGCTTTGTTAATTTTTCAAGCCTACCAAATGTGTATGGAAGAGCCCAGATCTGGTTATTGCTTAGGTCGAGCTCCCTGAGGTTAATTAGATCGCTGATGGTTTCAGGAAGTTCGGTCAGGTCATTGAAATTACTGCTAATGTTTAGGTACTCAAGATTTGTCAGTCTTCCAATTGCTTGTGGGAGACCACAGAGCTCATTGAAATGAGCATCAAGGTATCTAAGAGACCTCATTTCACCAATAGACGAGGGAAGATGTCGAATCTTGTTCAGATAAATGGAAAGCTTCTTGAGATTGGTAAGTCCATAGCCCATGTTTGTTGGCAGACACATTAGATTGTTAAAGCCAGCATCCAGTTCAACAAGTGACCTACATTTACATGTAATAAGTCTGACAGAAGCAGAATCAAAAAGTCTAACATAAAACTTGTATGTATTTGTTATCATGTTCCACTCAAGGACCTAATAGTAAATAAGTAGGAAAAAACCCACCAGTTTCATTCATGCAGAAATAGCACAAGCAGGGATACTGCCAATCATAGTTATCAAATTGTGATATGTATCATGAAGCAGAAACTATATTTCTAAATTGTGGATTGTGAAATTTATTTGAATTGTAAGTATCAATAGTAGATGAAAAATAACTTGAAATATAAAGCATTACATGGGGGTGAAAGTTATAAGCTCAGAGTACTCAAGATGCTAAGTCTAACCCATACTTAAGAAGAGAATTTAAACACCAGACAAAGATAAGATCATGAAACATAAATCCGTCATAATTAATTCTTGAAATAATCTCAATATATGCTCTCTCTACAAAAGGCGACAACTCTTAACACGCCTCACCAAATGGCATGGTTCATGACCAATTCAAGATTGCTCATGATTCAGTCAATGTCCCAACGATACATATTAGTTTTAACTCGTTATGAAGTTTGAACGTACAATTTTTTATAACTATGCAGCCAATACTAGTTAGAATGAAAGTTAGCAGATGCAAACATACCTGCAATGTGCAATAGATTCAGGAAGTGCATTTAGCTTGTTACTGGACACGTTGAGGACCCTAAGATTGAGCAGCAACCCAATTGAATCAGGCAGTGATTCTAGAAGATTCGATGAAATATCAAGCTCTTCAAGTTTTTGTAAACCCGCCAATGAGTCAGGGATCATCTGTTTTTGAGATATGGAAAAAGAAAACAAAAAATAAAAAGTCAAAATCACCAAACAGGTACACTGAAGTGTGAACCAGTTCTAACAATTAACAAGCACACTTTGCTCCCCACCCCCTTTCCCATTCCTTTAACCAAGAAAGCCAAGAGATCTGTACTACTGAGAGCAAATGGCTTTCACCTAACATAAGTAGATTATATTACAAACACGAATACCATATTGACAGATTCAATTTTAATGTACCATGTCCTAAACAGGAAAAACTGAATTGGATTAACTGAAACATCAGTATATGATCACCAATCTATGACTTCCAACTAGCGCAGTAAATCCCAACTACTATAACATTTAACATCGAAACCTTCTGCATCTCAATGACTCATAGTGCCTTATTGTTCTATGGCATGAAAAATCAATAAGCACTGGTACACGAAAACAAGAAAACCCTCGCAACATAAAATTTGTCCCCTGCATTAGCGTAAAGAAACTATCAATCATCAGAGGAGAAAAGACACTTTGTACAGAAAAGAAGCATTTGGAACAGGTCTGTTTGAAATGAAGAGAATGGAAGGGAAACGAAAGGGCTTAAATCCAACACTCGCCCCTTTGAAGAGGTTTGAACACGTGAAAATGGAAGAGAAGAGAAGAAATAAAAACATGTATGTTAGATTAAGTAATAAATAAAAGAAAATCTCAGATTGGAAATTCTACATCCCTTCCCTTCCCCTTCATTCGCTCCACTCAATCAAAAAATCACTCTGGTTCTCCCGCTTTAAGTATAAACAACTAATAGACAACTTCATGAGATCAGATAATGCAAAAGTGATCGAACGTACTTGCCTTCAATTATTTTACTGCATACTTTTAATTAGATCACAAAAACGTCCCTTCTAACAGATTACTCATTCCTAGCTGATGTTATTTCTGTTGGCGAATCATTGATTTCTTTCCTTTCCATTATTCATTCATTAGTTATTGCTTATGTTTATGACTTCATATTGTAAAAACTTAACTTAGAAAATTAATAGAAATGAAGAAAATGGAGGGAAAGGAAAGGGCTTAAATGCAACACTCTCGCCTTTGAAGAAGTTTGAACAGATGAAAATGGAAGAGAAGGGAAGAAATAAAAACATGTATGTTAGACCAAGTAATAAATAAAAGAAAATCTCAGATTTGAAATCCTACATCCCTTCTTCTTCATTCCACTCAATCAAAACATCACTCTGGTTCTCCCTCTTTAAGTATATACGAGTCATATACAACTTCAGGAGATTAAATTCTCAGTTTTTCTCCCTCTTCAAGTAGATCAGATAACGCAGAAGTGATCGAACGTGCTTGCCTTCAATCATTTTACTGCACACTCTTAATTAGATCACAGAAAACGTCCCTTCTAACAGATTACTCACTCCTAGCTGCTGTCATTTCTGTTGGCGAATCATTGATTTCTTTCCTTTCCATTATTAATGCATTAGTTATTGCTTATGTTTATGACTTCGCGTTGTAAAAACTCATCCTAGAAAATTAACAGAAACGCGAAAGACTCTATATAGAAATATTTTTTATTTCCCAATCTTAAAACAAGCGCTGGAATCAGAAAATAAGCTTTAACTGATTTCAAGTGTGAGAGAAGAAAGGCGCAAAATCTACTCACCTTGAACTGATTGCTAGACAAATTAAGCACGACCAGCCCACGAATCTTGCCAAACGCCTCAGGAATGAGCCTTAGCTGCCGCCTAGAAAGATCAAGCCTCTCCATTTCTTCTTCTGTCTCTGCTTTCATCAAAATTTCAACAACTTCTTCACTCACCTCCTCATCCTCTTTCTCCGATTCTTCTGCCACCACTGACTCATAAACCCCAATCAACCTCTCTTCCGCACCCCTCAAATGTTTCGCATACTCCTCGTGCATGTCCTCCAACCTCACCATCGCCTCATAAATCTGCATCTCTTTCTCAGCAGCCTCTCTCAGCTCCTCTGTTTCTTCAACCTTGGAGCGAATCTCTGCTATCTTGAGACGCGCAAAAGCAACCGCAGAAGGGTCAGGACGAGGACCCAGTGTTCGAAGAAGAAACAGAGTCTGCGTGACTTGGAGCTCAGGGATGACTTGAGTCAATGCCGCCAAGACTTTAGGGTGGGACAAGTTGGAGAATTGAGTCAGAAGAGTTTGGTGTAGCTCCGTAGGAAGAGGATAATAGGTATGTGGATCCAAGTGGTGTAAGACATAGCAGAGAAGGGGAAAATCATTGGGGTTGGGATCCATTTCCGCACACAAAAAGCCAGAAAACCGAAGAAGATGAAATGAGTAAAGGATGAGAGAGAAGTTGGGGGAACCTGATAAGCGATAGGGACAGAAGATGCTAGAAAGGAGAATTACTGGGCGCGCGATACCCACCGTTCCACACGAAACAACCAAATATGATTCTGATGGGATGAACCAAAACCAACGTATTATACTTTCATCCGCAACGTCCTCCAGACGAAACTAGAATTCCCGTTGCTGCCTAACTTCACACGCCAAGGGTATCAGTTTCGGGGCACCCAATCCGTCGATATTAAATTTTTTTTAAAATATTAATTTACTTTATTTTTATTTTTGGTCCTGTTATTATATTTTATATCTAAATTAAATAAATATAAAATCTAACTAATATGTTACTTCTTCTTATTTTTAATATAAAAACTAACTAACTAATTTGAGTAGATTAAAAAAATTAGTTAAATTAATTATTTATAATAAATTGGTGTTGTCTTTTCTAAAATATCTTTGCTAATCAAATATATTAGCTAGAACTATTATTACTACAAGTATTAACCTAAAAAAATGAATAAATGAATGGCAAAATGGATTTTTTTAGACAAAAAAAGATAAAATGAATTAAAATATTATATTTATAACTGAATTAATAATCAAACAAATTCTTATATTAAGAACAAGAGATAGTACTTAATATGTTTACAATCAAAGTCAATTAATTCTTCTTAATAATTATAGTCTTTTTCAAGATTAGACCCATTTTCTTATGCCAAAAGAATCCTCATTCTACATGAATTATATAAAATTTTATGAAATAAGATAAAAAAAGGGTTCGTCACTTATATCGTGTTATCTAATAGAACAAGGGTCGTTATTATAAATAACTTATTAATATATTAACATGCTGTTTATTATAATAGGTTAAACTACTAACTCCAATTCTTAATATAAGAGCTAGTTAATTAATTTGAGTAGATTAAGAAAATTAGTTAAGTTAATTATTTATAATAAATATATATTGTCGTTACTAAAATATCTTTACTAATCAAGAGTATTAGCTCGAACTATTATTATTATAAGGATTACTATGAGAAAAAATAGATAAATATCAGAGACAAAATGAACAGGGATCTTATATTTAGAAACAAAATAAAAATTAAACCAACTTTTATATTAAGCATTGGATGTAGGATATTTTGGTTGGGTTAGCAAGCATGTTTCATTCTCCTCTCTTCTCTATCTTTCTTCGGCAATAGTTCATGTGTTCCCTCTCGCTTGTGAGATAGTCTTGTTCTCTCATAAACTAGACTCTTCATTCAAAATTAATAATCTTGTGCCTTGGTGACATATAAGTTCCTTTTAAATTTTTAAGTTTGATACTGCTTACAATTTCAAATTGTTAGTGTCTATCTCCGTATATTTAAAAAAAATTAATTTTTTTATATTACCTCCTATTCTAAATATAAAATTTATTTTGCAATGCAATTATAGATCTTATATTTTAAGATGGAAGGTAGCAATAGTTTGTAAATGTTCATAAAGTTGTTATAATTAGTGTTGATTTTCCAAAGAAGAAGCTGAATCTCATCCCGCCACCCCTTTTAACACGTTAGCTTGATGAAGATAGCTGTGGGGATTGACCAGTTTGGCCGGGAGTGCTATTTACTCTAGTTTATTATTAATTTTACGATAATCAAGTAATCATCCAATGACATAGTTTTATTTTACCACTGATTCTAAATATAAGATCTCATTTATATACAAACGAGATGTTATAATTAGGACCGAATGTGGTATTATGTTTATCCATATGATAGTAGTACTTCCGATCCTAAATATAAGAGCTAGTTAACTAATTTGAATAGATTAAGAAAATAAGTTAAATTAGTTATTTGTTATAAATAAGTGTTATATTTTCTAAAATATTCTTACTAATAAAATGTATTGACTAGAGCTACTGTTATTAGAAGGATTACCTTGAAAATAAATAAATAAATATGAGAGACAAAGTGGATTGAGATCTTATATTTAAAACCAAAATAAAAATTAAACGATATCTTATATTAACAAGAGATAGTGTATAGTCAACTCAATCTTTCCAAATAAGTTCATTTTCCAGAAATTTCCTCATCTCCATGAGAAATGTCTTCTTGTTCCTTTGTTCTCAAGAAAATTCGAAGGACACGGCGGGCAACAGCATATCCTTTGATTTGTTCTTTTCAGCACAAATGAAAACATGAGCTCGATGGAGAAATATTCTACCAAAATAACTTATTGCCGGACTGGTTTTCTCTTTATATTTTGAGATTAGTTTTTTTTCCTATACTAAAATAAGAGACAATGAAAAAAACTAAAATGTTTGAATAATTTGTTTTCAAAACCTAATTTAAACCCTGAATCACAATAATACTGTTCACGACCTTTTTTTTTTTCCTAATTATTTTGTGTTTTGTTTTAAAAAGCAAAAACACCTACAAAAATTTATATTTTGCGTTTAATTTTTATTTTTCCTGAAATGGATAGAAATTTATGAAAAATATATATGGAAATTCTCATGTTAAAACCATAGCTTTGAGAAACTGGTAAGAATTGGCTTTTTTGGGGGGAGAAAAAAAAAACAGAGAATCTGACAAGAAATATTCTTACAATTAAATTTTTTTTTAAGCTCCAAAATGGAATTTTTAGGTTCATAATTAAATCCTATTTAAAAATAACTTATTTAAAGCAAAATTCATAACTGAAAATTTTCCCTGAAACAACTTTTTTATTTTTCACTAAAAGAGAAATTAAAATCTACCTCCAGCAACCTACATCGGCCATTGAAAGATTGGTCCGGTTGAAAACTAGGAAAGCCCCACTTTACATTGACAAAGTCCGTATCTGCTTGTTTGGCTTGACAAATCCATTAAAGCCCACCCAAGAAAAATGGTCCATCGTACATGGTTTACCCTCTAGATTCTTCTTCTTCTTTTTTTCTTTTTTTTTTTTTTAAATTTTCTTTGGCTTTTTCACGGTTTTGCGTAGGACAATCTTGGCATGCCGCTTGCTTCAGGATCAACATGGCCCACACATGATGGCATTTCAAGACTGTATCATTAAGAATTAAGAAGTTCTATTATTCTTTTTTTTTTTTAATCAAAGAAGTTCCATTATTGTTTAATTCATCGTTTGTTTGTGGACTAAAATATATTACCTCCTGTCTTTAATATAAGAGTTGGCTAGACTACTAAATATTCAATTTGGTTTTAAATATAAAATCCTAATCCATTTTGACTCCAATATTTATTTATTTTGACCTCAAATAATTCTTATGATAATTGCATATAATTAATAAAGATATTTTAAAAAAGATAATGGCTATTTATTATAAATAATTAATTTAACCAATTTTTTTATTTATAAATTAGTTATAAAGAACGAGAGGTGATATAAGATTGCAGAATACGCTACTAACACTTGCCCTGACTTCAGCAATGCCATAAATTGTACACTTAAAATAATTAAAATAAACAGCAAATGATTCAAATAAAAATTTATCGGAATCTTCTAAGGGGGTGTTTGGGTATCATCCCAAACCATGGTTTGGGGAAAGAGTGAGTCAAGTAGGGAGAAATAATCTGAAACCATGGTTTGGGCTAAAACCATGGTTTCAAGAAAAATGAATCTATTCTGCTTTTGGCTCAAATTAGAGAGTATAATTGTGCCTGTTAGAGTAGATCTTAACAATAATATGACTTTAACATCCCTCAATTATTTTTTATAAACATATTTAATCTTATATCTTATAAATATATATACACATATTAATTATTTATTAATTACATTATCTTATGTATTATTAATTATGTTCGTAAAAATATATTATTAACAATTTTATTTCTTCAAATTAAAATATATTATAAAATCTATGTTTTATGTAATTATTATATTAACTTATACCTTTTTTAGTAATTTATATATACAAAAAGTGTTTCTGATAACAACTATCCAAACACTTTTACTTTTATCAGAATCATTTTTCCACAAAATCTATTTTTCTAAAAATCTATTCTCCAGAAATTATTTTTTAAATCATAGTTTGGTTTCATCCAAACACTCTCTGAGTTCTAAGTTAGCTTGGCAAATCAATTACTACAAGGCAGTGACATTTTTTCTGCAGCCAACACAATGGCCCAAACGTTAATCCTTTCTTCTTTACGTGACAGTTTATTCTTATCCTCTACTGGGTGGAATGCATTTAGGAAGTATTTGTGAAGAAATCAAATAATAATTTTAAGAGTAATTTTACAAGATACCAAATAAATAAATGAGAAAGTTTTTTCTCAACTTAAAAGTATTTTTTTAAAAATACTTTTTAATGATACTAAATACCTCCTTAATCTTTATTTTTTCAAATCAATTGCAGCTGAAGTATTTTCATTGATTTCTTTACGAAATTATAGGGTCCATATATTTTTTTTCAGACTTGAAACTTCTTCGTATTTTTTATATCAAGTTCTGTAATTAAAGTATAATAAATGTGTATTTTTAATTAAAATACAAAAATATATAATATATTTAAAAGTGAATCACTTATGTGCAAAAAAAATATAATATCATATTATCATAAAAATCTCATATATTTCTTATATTTTGATTAAAAACTTCATAATAAAGCATAAAATAATTCAATATGAAACTTTTTTCTCCATTTTGATTATATTTTCCCATATTATAATGTTTCGTGCTGCACTTTTTATCCTGCAATATTTTGTGTTGTGTTATCTTCATTTTGCAACCATGTGTTTTCCGTCTCTATGCGGCATAAAAGGGCATTTTGGACATCCCAATCATCTTCCATCCCGGCCACCGTCCAAGGTCTATTCAACCTTATCTCTAAGCTAATAAATAAAAGAAATTGATGGATTGATCCATCAAACTTCAAGACACCTTCACATCTCAAGATTATCATTAATGACCAAGTTGAGACCAGAGCTACTAGACCGCAACTAGCTTCGTTCATCATCAAGCTAAATGTAAAACCTTGGGCTTTTTATTTTTTTTATTTTTTTGGGTTCTAAGGCAGTAGCCCGAGTTCAATCCTGATCTCCAACGCCCCTTCTCTCTCTCTCTCTCTCTCTCACTTCCCATGTCATCTCTTTCGTTTGAAAAAAAATATAGAAGGACTAGAAGCTTACAAGCAGGATCCGCGACCTCCCTTATGAGAGAATTTTTATACCAATAGACTACAAGGTGATTGGCACTTTTCGTGTCATCTCTATGTAAGGACTCCACCCATTCATTCCACATCATTGAAAGAATTAAACATATTCCATTCAATGTTTGGCGTCATTGAGAAAAGACCTTACATCTCAATACTTTATGGATATCCATACTGAAACCCCAGCCGATCCAATGCTGCGAATAGACATGACCAAACATGGAGGAATACCCACTATAAAAGATCACATATGCTGGGGGCAGGAAGAATAACCTTAAACTCTCCTGATGTGTAATAAAACATTAATTGACTCCCAGATTTTTGTTTAGGCCTTCACAATAGTCTTTTAAAATTGGAATTAGGTCCGGTTATTCGGGTGTGTGAACATCTCATATCTTTCCAAAACTGGACAGCTAAGGGAATCTTTCCCTTCAACATCAAGGGAGGAGGGGTCCTTTTGCTTCCCACCCAAGTCATACTGTCCCTCTCCATTTGGAGACGCCACAACCATATCTTCAAAGTTTTATATTCAAGTTTTCGATCTTCTTCCTCTTTTTTTTAACTTTTTCTTTTTGTCTTGGTATCTGTATTTGTTCAAGTTATTGTGGCAAACTTCCATGTGCCAGCTGTGCTGAGATAGTTTATTAGGATCAGTTCACACCCTTCGCGTTTGCAAGCTCTACATCATTCCATTAGAAGGAAGCTTCAAGTGTATGGTCCCCAATTCCATGAGATTCGAAACAGCATGTCCATTTGACGTAGCAGCCTAATAGAATCTGCTTCCGACACCAAACCTGAACTCAAACCACAATAACTTGGCTGTATAAGTTCACCGAATAGAAGAACAAAACAAATAGCTTGGTTATAACAATGCAGATACTTTCTAATCCCTAGAGAATGCCTGCCGGTATTCTGAAGAGTAACAGACAATAGTTACTTCTTATATATTACCAACTATTGTCTTCAATTTCTTCAATAAATGGAAGGTAAAATAGAATGGATCAGAGCACATGATGCAGCCAGTCTCTGCAACACTATAACAAAGATTAATCGATAAGGAAGACAGATGCCAACAAAATTTTAGTCTGTCGGCACTTACAGTCGCACATCTTGTCAAATGCAATCTCGTATGACTAGGATTACTTGCTGTAGCTTCCTGATTGAGCCGCCTCATTCTGATCATTCAACCTGCAAACATAGATAATCAAACAATTAATCAAACCGCGGAAGAAATTGCAATTACACTGACGACGGAAGAAAAGCAAAACAATTACAGAATAACGAATAGCAGAAAACAGAAAACACAGTAGAAAGGAAGGAGTCAGGATAACAGGAACGAGAAGCTGATGGGGTGGTCGGAGGAAAGGAATGGTTTCGATATGGAATTTTCAAAAGGAAAAACAGCCAGAGGCAATAGCGAAGGACGAACGAAACGAACTCACCATCGCAAAATTGCAGCCAAGAAGATGTAATAGGACTGAAATTAATTTAATGGCCAAGGATCACAAGCTAGAAGGGCAAGACGTCCCAACGATTTACAGTCTCTTTTACATCATAGATCCCGACTTTTTTTCTTACGATGTTTTAATTATAATTATAATATCTTAAGTTCATTTTGCTCTTCTTTTAGTTTCCAAACAGTTCCCATCATATCCATGGTTCAGATCACCCTGTCTCTATGGCCAGTGGTTCCCGCTGTGCATGACGCAAATGTTGCCCGGGTTTCCCTGCGTCGGGTAAGCATATTGAGGAAGAAGAATATTCCTCCCAGCAGATTTTCTCAAGTCAAACGCTATCGGCGCTGACATCTGACGCGCACATCGATCGACGACCGGCGTCACCAACACCGAGTATCTTGGGCTGCAGCCACAAGTAGAGCATCCACAACTACCAGCAGTAGAATTGTGAGGTGACAAGGACGAAGACGTAGATGAAGATGATAATGATTTTGACATAGACGACGAGGACGGAATAGAATGTTTTTTCTGCAACGATTTCGGCGGCGAAAGGAACGCTCTGATCTTTAAAGATGACGGCAGCGCAACCAGATCGTATTCCTCGATCAGATTCGCCAGATCCTCGTCAGAGCTGATAGATACCAAAGCATCGAGATCTTCGGTGGGCAATTGACAGCGAAGTGTCACAGCTTCCGAGCCACAGAGCTCTCCCAACTTCACCAACAGCTCTGTATTACACAATGGATCAACAACGGCAAGAAGAAAACTAAAAGTTCAATCTCAATATCGCTCCAAACAGATCAATCCCTCTCATGGAGCTCTCGCTTCTCTCAGAAACGCACTCGATCTAATTTTAAAGAAAAAGTTAACTAAAAGAAAGAGCAACAAAATAGAAAGAAAACTAACCGGAAAAGGAAATAGATCGGTCGACGGAGAGGACACGTGTATGGCCACCGATATAACGGAGCTTGCCGTCGGGATAGCGGGGAAGGATTTTGCCGCCGTAGCTACAGAGGAATTTGAGGGTGGATTTAGGAGGTTGGGCCGGTCCAACCATACTGGGGTCCAGGTTTGGATTGGGAAGCGGAAGACGACGACGATGAGGAAAGAGGAAGAGATGAGGCTAAGAAGATCTAAGTCTTGCGTCTTCAAGCCTAGGATCGGTAACATTTGTCCCTTATTTATAGAGTTTTTTCTTTCCTTTTATTATTATCATTCTTTAAATTAAAAAAAAAAAAACAGAGAGAGAGTAATTTATCACACTTCTAACTTTGGGTTTGGCATGAATTCTTTGAGGTCCTCAGTGATAAAGGTGAAGCATCTTCAGAATAATTTCCCAGAATATCTCCGTTCTATTTGCTTCTCATTAATTCTGCTACAGTTTTCAACTTTCGCATCATTGCTACCTTAATAATCAACAATAATAGAGATCCATTGTTTTCTTTTTGGTAGAGAATATATTATTATTACATTAATTAATACGAGTAATACACTGGACACCCACATTCAACCCTTTCAAAAATGTGGTCCTTTCCATACCTTTAAATTCCTCATTTAAATCTTCTATATCAATATAAATATAGATTTATTCCGTGTGTAGTTCTACTAGTCTTAAAAATGCATTAAAGTATTGGGATAATTCTAATTAAATCCAGTTAAAACACTAAAATTCAAAATTAGGTCTTCACTTTGTACAAATTCCTAATGAGGCAAAGAGGCCTAATTAGGGATTTATGAATGTTGTTTAAAGTTTAAAATGCCCCTCTATAATTAAAATGAATTGTTAGTTCTATATTTTTCTCCTCCACAGGTTGTTCTCCGAAAATACAAAAGTTCTCAATCCATAGTAGATGACATGAAATTATAACACTGTTCTCAATTCATATTAATAATTACTCCAACACCCTAATCGATCTGTAAAAGGTGCCGGTCTGAATAAGGGATCAAATGGTCCATAATCCTTAATGCAAGGGCTTTTCAAATAGTTTCCTATTTATTCATGACAATCGTATGCCTTTTCCTTTGACTATTTTAGAACAAATTAATTATACATTATGATCCTCCGTCTACACTATTTTACCAATTTTCCAAGTGTACATGTGTGTGTATATTATTAAGTATATGGAGGATGGATCAATGTTAAAATTGAGCAAAAATCAAACCCATTGAAAATTAAAATCTAGCATTGACCAACACTGTTGGATTGATTAGAGTGCTGGAGTAATTATTAATATGAATCAATGATTGTATTGTAATTTCCTATCATTTACTAAAGATTTATTGTTTTTGTATTTCAAGAAAAGAATTTGTGAGGTAGACAAAGAATTTATGAGAGAGAAAAATATAAAGTCAACCAAAAAAAGAGAAAAAAAATACTCAAAAAAATATAAAGGTAACAACTCATTTCAATTATAGAGGGGCGTTCTTGACTTTCAAGAACATTTCTAAATTCCTAGTTAGGCCTTTAATCCTAATTAGGAATTTGTTCAAAATATAGGCCTGATTTTGAATTTTGGTATTTCAGCTAGATTTAAATGGGATTCTCCCTAAATTATTTATGATCTAAGAATAATGTAATTTATATTAATTTTATATGTTATATTGATATTACTAGTATTTTCTTGTATTTGAGCCGCTTTTTATGGCTTATTAGTAGTTATAAGTTTTACATCGTTACACATTAATGAAATGATAGACTACCTTCGGTCCTAAATATAAGAACTAGTTGATTAATTTGAGTAAATTAATAAAAGAAGTTAAGTTAGTTATTTGCAATAAATAAGAGTTATCTTTTCTAAAATATCCTTATTAATTAAGTGTTTTGGCTAGAACTGTCATTATTAGAAGGACTACTTTAAAAAAAAAGGTACAAATATGAGAGACAAAGTAAATTGGATCTTATATTTGGAACCAAAATAAAATCAAACGAGATCTTATATTGAGGACCGGAGATAGTATTAATTTTTTTTGGCCTGAGTAATGATATATTAATTTAATTAACCTTGACAAATTACAATTTGCGCATGTTTGTGAAAAGTATGATTGCTTGATTGTGAGGTCAATGTCAATTATGTTTAAATAGATCTGCCATTCATATTATATTTTAGTGGACATGATTTGATCTTGTTTGTAATTTTAGGCTGGTCGAAACCGTGACAGTATTGATTTGATCTTGTTTGTGGAAAAAATAGTGACTATGACATATAATGCACAAATCTATACCATTTTGTGCATGTCACTTCAAAATTTAACGGTAAAATAAGGAATTTTTAAAATGTTTAAGTGGACAGAAAAAGAGTCTACATTCATGCTAGAACACAGAATGCTTCTATTTCTTTGGGTTCAATAATTGATTCTTTTGCGCTATAGGAAGGGAAAAAAACGCAAATAAACCTTTGGTCTGTGTATGTGATTTGTTTTTGAATTTATAATATTATGTTAGAATATTAAATATTTGTTTACGTTTAATAACTTCTTTTATTGATCATATATAAATAATTACATATTTGTTCGCATCCTAGATCTTAAGAAATTATTATACCTTACATGTCTTGCCGTGTTGTGTTGCATTATTTGTACTTGGGTTGGTGTTTCAGAAGTGAAAATGTTAAAGGATGCTTGATTTTTTTTTTTTTTAACAAAAAGTTTAGGTGAGTTAAGTTTTAAAATTTATTAAGATTAAGACATACTTTCAAATAAAAAGAACATTTATAAAGATACTTACAAATCGTCTACTAGTAAGATTCTCTTATTAGATATTCAAACTCATAATCTTATAAGTTATGAGTCACTTCCTTACCAGCTAGACCAGTATTACTTGGGCACATTGATTTGTACTTTCAATATGAAAGCATTAAGCATCGGGATTATCTATGAAAATGGCAAGAACATCCAAAAATCATTGTTAATATTAGGGAACATTTTTTTCTTCATATTTTGATTTGTTTGGTCCCCCAAATTTCATTTTCAAAAAACTAGTTCATGCCTTTCACGAGTTATTCGCAACAAGAGGAGAAGATTCTTATGAACTAACAGACACATAATTTTTTATAAAAAAAACTCATAAACCAAAATTTTACATAATTTTTTATAAAAAAAACTCATAAACCAAAATTTTTTGGGAAAGTTATTGAAAAGGTTCCATTACAAAATTTATTACTAAAAAAACCTGAAATTTGTTTGAGCCTTTAAGCATACAAGTGCAACTTTTCTTTAACCGTGTGCAATCTATCCTCTCAACCGTGTGCAAAACGAAAAATATTTATATACAGTTCAAGATATGTTACACAATACACACGATTAAAAAGAAGAGTTACACTTGAATTCTAAGGCATCTCTCGGCAATAATTCCTATCATGAAACATTTTAAAGCAAATTTTCCTTCTTTTTTCCCTGCCAATGTCAAATTTTGAGATTGATATCAACTCCACGTTTTGCACTTAATTAAATGTAGGTCTTGTATATTACTCTCTCCGATCTTTTTATAATGGGAACATTTTAGTAATTTTGGCTTGTTTTTAAATATAAGACATCTTTCATTCTTAATGTCCACCTCATTTGTTATTTTCTTAACAAGATACCCGGATTAATTAGTTCACCTTTTTTAATTAATGGATATTCTCATATTAAAATTGAAGTGTTCGAGGATGTGCATTTTTGATAAAATGATATTTTTCTAGTTTTAAATGTAAGACCCATTTTATAGTATAATTTAAACTATAAAATAAGTCTTACATTTAGGATTAGAGGAGTATTAATTATTGACACACTTATGCTGCTTTTAACTAAATTAATTAACTTTACTGGTCTTCATAAAGGTTTAAAATGTCCCGATGAAGATGAATGAAGGGAGCATCATGCAAAGTCTTAAAAATAATGATTATGTACACTTTACACAATTTAAAATTGTTTGGCATAATGATAAATTTAAGTTGTGATTTATGGTTTTTATTTAACTTTTATGTTGAATAACGTATAAGTAGCATTAGACATAACCCACATTAAGGACCGGGGTAGTCTTATTTATGATTTGAATTGTATGACTTTTTTTTCATAAATTTTATACTGTAGACTAGTATTAATTAGGTGAATCATGGTATTAAAACTCAGTCGAGATCATCCACTCAAACCTATAAGCTAATTCCCTAGTGGTCCAGCTAAAAATTTTGGACAAATGAATCAGGTTGAATTTTGTGTGTGTGTGTGTATTCATGTTGAGATTGAAACAAAATCATTTTGACTAAAGGAAAAAAGCTATCAAATTTATGCTTTAATAACTTTACCTTGTGAGATTATGTGTGATTTACATATGAATGTTTCTTAAACATATGAATTAATGTCTTTTCATTAAATATTAATTGTTTAGAATTATGTATAAATTATATATATATTTTAATGAAATTATATTATTCTAGTGATAACTTGATTAGCCTGGGTTCAATCGCAGTTTGATCACTGACCTTTGAAATGCCACTTTAATCAGTTGAATGACAATACGATCTTTATATTAGAAGCTAAGTTCAGGGATTATTGAAGTATATATTTGTACTTGTATGGGGGCAAACTAATTTTCACCCAACTCTTGTATTAAAGACTAAAGATATCAGGCAAATAAAAATGACAAGAGGTAGTATCATTTTTAATCACGTTAATGTGAATTCTTCACAATCAATAAGGATATTTAGTTTGACCAAAAAAAAAAACATAGATATTTTGAGAAAAATTATAAATTTAAAAGAGAAAATTAATTATATCTTATATTTATAACTTCATATAAAAGATGAAAATTAATTCTTATATCAGAGATAAAAAGTATTACCTTCGTTCCTAATTATAAGAGCTAGTTGACTAATTTGAGAATATTAAAGAAAGAAGTTAAATTAGTTATCTGCAATAAATATGTATTGTCTTTTCTAAAATATTCTTACTAATCAAATGTATTGGTTAGAGCTACTATTATTAAAATGACTACCTTAAAAAAATACATAAATATAAGAGATAAAGTAGATTGAGATCTTATATTTAAGATCAAAATAAAAATCAAGTAGAATCTTATATTAAAAACCGGAGATAGTAGTATTTTAAAACTTCATATAAAAAACGCGGTAATTAGAACCTCTATTGGTTTCGCCAAAAGACAAAAGAACCTCTATGGCCAAAAATAAA